GCTTTCTTGGAGAACAAGCCCATGATTGTGTCGTTCGAACGTCTGGCTATGCTGGACGGGTGATGTTGGCAGCGGCCAGGCTCAGATGCGTTGAGAGCAACAGAAAAGGGTGTCTTCTATTGTCGTCCGAGAAAGCTTGATATCGGGACACAAGACCGCTCGTAGGACGGGCAGAGGCTGGGTCTAAGTATTACACGCCGAAAGCTGCGCGACCTGGCTGGATGGTCGTGCAACCGCCATCGGCTCGGCGAAGACGAGGCAAAGAATGGTTGAAGGGTGCCACCACTAGTGTAAGGTCAGAGCTAGCTCTCCACCTTCATGCAGCATTAGCACCACTTTGTTCGTGTAGCTATGTATCCACCTAAAGCAAAAGAACCTTTAACCCCGTGTGGATTCTTAGGTGGTGGAGAGATCCACGGGATGTAAGAGCCAGCGGTGGCCGAGAGTGACTTTGCCCGCGTGGGACAGACTGTCGAAAAGGCTCAGAGGCAGACAAGAGCTGGCCAGCGTTCCACTCGAATAGCTCGGGATGATTCGGTGGCAGCGTGTGCGGGAAATCGTGGGCACAGAATTACGAAATGGCGTCCAGGTTACCGAGCTGACTTGGCCCGGATCGTTGGGCGACTCGGACCATGTGGGGTTCCAGGGAAGCTATCCCCCTGGAAGGCGTTCGGAAAGGAAGGGTTCTAGGTTGTATTCTTTCCTTGGGACCTTGGGTTCCAACGCGCAGAACAGACGATGCACAGGATCGACCAGGCGGCAGGCGTGTGAATCGGAGGTGGGGTGGCAGTCAAGTGAGCCGATGCGCCGAATGAAGTTCTAGCTGCAGCTCGGTTACCAAAGTCGGTTCACTGGCACGACTGGTCGTCGCATCTTGGCGCGGGCGGAGGGCCTCACATGTCAGATTGCCCGGAAACCAGTTCGCGTGGCCGTGAGTATTGGTCTTGGGACGCACATCGGCGGGATGAGGTATATAGAAGCTGTGCTAGCGGATCTTGAAGGGAGAGATCGTCGCGCGATGGACCTCTCATGGTGTTCTGCCCGTGGCGAGACTCGAGGAGGATAGTTATGGCGGGTGGTAGTGGTAGGATCATTAGTCGCGAGCTGTTTGCGCTTGTTGCATTGCATGAATCGTTGGCCCGTTTATTGCCCTACCTTTCTGTTCGGCTTTCTTTAGATACACACGTAGGTGAATTGATTCGGGACGATTAGGGAGGATGCGTCGGAGAGATACAGAAGTCCTTTTGCCTTCTAGATTGCGGGGCCGGTGGTGGCCCTCTCTGCCAGACATTTCGTCGCAATTCGGCGAGAGAATTAAGGATGAAGAAAAGCTTGACTTCAAGCATGACCAGGGCCGAGGTGTAGCGGAGAGATGGAAACAGCCAGTCATCGCCACTGTAGGACAGTCGGAGGAGGGAAAGAGGGGACGGATGGGATTAGATACATCTAAGATGTCACTCCTTCCAGTTTAGCAACTCGGAAGGTGCCATTGCCTAAGGTCCCTTATGACACACCCATGGTGCCTGCCACGCCCGGCTGGGAGACGTTTTGGTCGGGAACGGGAAGGAAAGAATGAGGCGTGGATGCCAACAGTGGAAGCGTGTGCCTGCCAGGAAGAAATTTGTCACTTTCCAGCGTGTCCAAGTCGGCAGGAACAAACACCAAGGCAGAAGGAACCGAAGGAACCCCACTGTTGCCCACCCATTTCCTGGGAAGGAGGTCCTCAGGAGCTGGCCATTGGTTGGTCCATCGCCTGTGGTGTCATTTTAGGCTGTGGGGCCGTTCCAATGGCGCCGAAGCAAATTTTTATCTGATGCCGCCCCGCTTTTCCCAATCTTATCAGATCATCTCGCTGCCTCAGGAAACCTAAGATATCGCATCTGCTACTTGCGCCTGAACTTCCCATTTGCACCGATTCCCGTCTCGTCGCCCAGTGACACAAAGATTCTCTCCTCTTGCTTTTTCAATCTGTCACTCCGTCCAGGAATCAACACGACAGCCTGCTGATCCCGCGGAGGCCCCACCCTGCAACATAAGGCTGGACGTCAACGACCTCTCCATCCTGGGTTGGATGCGCACCGCCAGCCTACCACCACCTTGCTTGCTTGCATCCGAGTACCTGGGGCCACCACCGTCGCTTTGCGGTCCGATCTATGTAGCATTCTGCCAGCTTCAATACCAGAAAGACCCAGTTGCCCAGCCTTGGCCTTGGCTTCCAGTACCTATGCAACCCTCCATCCCGTCCTGTCACCATATTAGAGTTGACCTTGGCGCGAACATCCCGTTCCGATGCTGCCGCGTTGTAATCGAGTTCTATTCACTAGCGGGAATCTTTCGTTCTCGGGTGTTCTCCTAATTGTTTATTATTCGTGACCCAAGAGCAGTCTGGTCTTGGTCCAGTGCGCGTTCCGATGAACGTTTTCTTACCGCGGCTGTGTAGAGACCCGACTATCGGCCCTTCAAGCTTACGAGTATTCTTATTACGGATGCCCCGCCGACTGTTCGCTGTGCCGCAGGCGAGAAACATCAAGATTCTGCCAAGGTTCGCCGTTGACTAACAGCTACATTGCCTTACATCTGACCAGCAGGCCGCATATGCACCAATGACATTTCTTCGCGCCTCCCACGGCACTTCATCGTAGTCTCCAGATACTCTACGTCTGGCTGCGTGAACGATGTCTTAGATTTCGCTGGGCCTCTATTTCACAGCTCGGATTTCGACCGAATAGTCACAGCATGTCGATGTCGCCGGTAGCAAAGACGGGCGGGCTCGAATCGGAGCGCCACATGATGCTAAGCGCCAGAAACCATGACTTTTTGTTTCCAGGGCATAGCCGACGTCTAACTTCACCTCGATAGTACAAGGAAGGGACGAGGCTCCAACAGTAACACAGAAGGATGGACCCTCAGTGACCCTTTCGATGGTGCGAGGCTAAGGTCTCCCACCACACGACCGAGCTGCTGGGCCAAGCATGCCAATCCGTCCGTCTCCGTAGGAGGACCAGCTCTGTTAGTGGCGCCACATAAGTGCCACGGCACCACGGCTCTCATCTCTCGTAGCTCCATGCTACATTTTCCACCCATCGAGCTTCCATTACCTGGTCCGGATCCACAGATCTCTGAGGGATAGTCTGCCATGGAGTTGGGATGAAAATCTCTCCTCTAGCACGCTGCTAGTACGCTTTCACAGTCGGCCGCTGCTAGTACCGATCCTTGAGCTACTCCTTCGGCCGCCAGCCTCGCTTTGCCTGGTTCAGACTCTTTTCCGACTCCCGCCGACGCAAGAGCCGCCCAGGGGTCAGTACTATGCGCGTATGCCTAGATGCCAGCCAACAAGCAGCCCAAGGATATTTCCGTGCCCACTTGCGACATCGGCCCACCATCAGGTAGACTATCGTGGGGGCGAATGCTTACACCTTTGACTGTCTGACAGCAATTTCATAATCGGAACCTCAATTCCGGCAATTTCCCCCGAGCGAAGCTGCCAATGGAACTCTTGCCGTTCAGTATTCAAGAGACACATCGGGTCCCCCGATGATTCGAGGCCCGTCTTCTCCGCGCTACTACAACATCAACGATCCGTCCCGCATTACCAAAGATCTTTTCCAAAGTATGCTCGATGCAACCATCACACACCGTTCCAATCCCGCGTTACGCGTCGTTATCGTCGTCTCGTTTGGAATACAGGCCCAGGTTCACTCCAGTTTCGCGGAGCGAAATGAGGTTCTCATGCGACGGTCGAGACAGGCCCTGAGAGTGTGGCTTTGTTGATCACTTGCTAAATCCAGATTTCAGGCAACATGAACACAGTTTATTCTGGATCTTATGGTCTGAAGAGCGGCAGGCCCTTGGCTACAGCGACACATCTTTGGAAAAGTTGCCAGTTTCGCTATCTAAGCTATCAGCTTCAAGGTCCACAAATTTGAATCGCTTGATGAAGTCGATTTAGAGAGGGCTCTCAAGTTCGTACCTCAGGCTGGCAGACGTAGACCACGAGGTCATGACCTACGATTACCATCGATAATTATGTATTGCTTTTAACGTTGTGATGAGCGACAAGATCATGCTCCTGCGTAACGCCAACAGGCCCCCATCCGCCAGGCGTGGGTATTGCCACCATTTTCGGACCTGATGCAAATTGCGCACCGATGCACCAGCAATAGCTGAAGAAGAGAGCGTCTGTGGAAGGTGAAGGCGACCTGACAGACATACTGCCTGTACAGAATGAGCCATGCTGATAGCGCGACTCGAAGTTTCCAGCTGCATCACAACCTCGTTCAATCTATCAGCAGGTCGGTTGTTCGCTTTGAGGGTCCGTGAAACTTCAATTTCAGTTCCAGGCATAGACGAGACCATATTCAACTTATGTACCAGCCTGGAGTGATAGACCCCAATGCCGGAGCCCCGCGACTCCCTCAGGAAGTTTGGACACAACAATACTACCTGCGTTTCCCAGAGCTTTTAAGCCGGTTGCGTTAGCGAGGGTCCTCCGAGTTGCATTCCGGTCCGGTGGCCCCACCCCGACCGGCACCCGATAACAACGCTCGAAGCCTATGCCTTTATTCTTAAGGAACTCTAAAAAGTCCAACATCAAATAACCTGAAAGACGCATTCCAAACTTCGTTAGTACCAGGCATACCACGTGGGCTTGACACCAAACGTTCTAGGCCTTCATGAACGCTCCAGGTCTCCGCGACGGATTCGAGAGGGGATGGTGATGTCATGGCGACATGGGCCTCAGTCGACACGTCCCCACGCGGCTCGACTGCGAATGATGGGCAAGCTTCGCATGGCTACGTCATCCCAGGCACATTCTAGAACTTTAGACGGCGGAAGACATTCTCTCTAGGCAGTTGAGCAAATTAATTTTGGATGTTTACAATTACACTGCAACGCATATCTGAACGACGTGATCCTGGAGCTCAAAATCACAATACCTCTCTCACGTAGGACGACGCTCTCGCTGAGACGCACAAACGCATACCTGGTGCTACATCAATATGGCAACACAAGCAAGTGAAGACAAGTCGCATCCGACATCACCCTATACGAAGCCCGACCAGATGGATCAAGAAGGGAGCAGGCAACCAGCACAGCAACAGCCGCAAAAGGCAGAAGCACCGCATAAGACCGAGACAGAAGAAAAGATCGAGAACGAGACTCCGCCGTTGAAAACTGATGCTTCAGCATCCGCGTCAGAATCGAGCACACAGCAGGATGGAGTTCAGCACGTGACACGAAGATCAAGAAGTAAACGGCACGATCCAGCTAAGCAACTCGGACAAGTCGGGCAACAGCAGGTCGCCCCCCAGAACCAACAAAATCGACAAGTGCAGACCACGAGCAGCAGCGGAGCGCCATCCGTGAAGCTGGACATGAACTTGGATGTCGACATTGATCTCAAAGCAAAGATTAAGGGCGATGTAACGGTGTCTGTATTGTGAGTTCGCACACTTCTATCCTCATTGCGTCTCGAAGCCGCGAGAAAATTTCATGCTAATGCCAGTCTAGAGGAGGAAAGCAGAATAAAAAGTGATTTTCTCAAAGACCAGAGTTACGATGATGTTTGACTTTGTGCAACTACGTGACAACCAAGCACGAATTGCATGTCTCATGCATATGACTCTTGATTTCCTGTCAAGATACGACTTGGACATTCAGCGATATCGAAACGCAGGAGGTTCTTCAAAGTCGATTCGAACCATGTTCTGATGAGATGCTATTACTCCCGCAACCGCAGGTGCGATTGTAGGATCGAAGGTATTCGTACCTTCAACCAATCCACTGCCAAACAAGCCACTCAGCAACTCAATAAAGCCAGCAGCCCGGACTAAATCCGATTTGCTGTAGAGAGTTAACAGCTGGACTCTATCCGGCATCTCGCTATCACCGGAGCACGATCCCGAGGGCGTTGTAGAGGTGCGACGCAATGCCTCGCTCTTCTTTTGCCAGCCTTGTGGCACCCTCCTACGGGCTATCTCGTGCGGTATCATGCTCTTCTCGCTACCAAATGTCACAGATTCATGATGCTGCTCCTCAAGGACCAGCTGATACGCGCAGAATAGCGCGATTCTCATCCCCTAACGTCTAGCTTCTACCAAGAGTGCCGCTTGAGGCATATCTGCCCTAGCAGCAGGGAACTGGACGTTGCCGTGAACTACGAGGTTAACAGCCACCAGGCCCGGTACGTATTTCATTGCTTGACGCCAGCCAATGTGCTCCAGTGATTCCTGGATGACACCTCGCTGATATCTAGTGAGATCGCTCCCTGGGTTTGAACAAACCTACGCGTATTTTCGAATTCAGACGGAAAGTTACTCGTGGCACACTTCAGACCGTCCCCAGTATTCCGAGAATTCCAGAGAAGATGAAGCACAAATGATCTTGCGTGATGGGCGCGGTATTTGTCAGGGAAATCTTGGCTGTGTGGGGTTGGTCAATCGAACAGAGACGACAAAGACGAGTGAGCCTCCCAAACTTGAGTCAAGGGAGAAAATCACGAAATTCTGGGCAAGTAGCACTGAGAGGCGCGGACGCGACTGCTTCCTACCTAAATCAAACGGCCAACAGCAAAGGATGCGGACAGAGCATGAGAGTACGTTTCCACGGTGCAGTAACCTAGTTCGAGCACACGAAGGTGATTGGGAGCCGGTGCCCTTCAGCTGAACAAGACATGCCCGGAATCATGGCCGAGGGCCGAGACCGAAGCCGGCGATGGGGTTTCTCTCAATGGTCTTTGAGGTCCCGGTCATCTGGTGCCAAAATGAGGTGAGATTGCGACGAGGCAAGATACGAGCTGTACTAAGTGGAAATGGTCATGAGCTCTCAGCAGGATACAAGATTTCGAGTCGATCAATACTTGTTCATCGGCGTTTGTTCAGCGATATGCTCATCGACGCACATTTACACGTGCACCAACGTTTGTTCACTTACCTTTGTTTCCCGAAACAAAACTGCCGTCACCAATACACATGACTTATGTGGGACCTGAGTTTCGGCAAGGTGAATATATGATCTCGCAAACTCGAATAAACTCTTTGTAGCATCATTATGCCCGCAAAAATGGGCGGTGTTGGCACTGATAGCTGTTGTCAGAATGGCTTCAATGTGTCTCCATCATCCTGGAGAACTACTGAACATAGATATGAAAGACGATGATGAAGTGGCCATACCCTAATGTATAAAATCCCATTTCTGAACGCTCGAATCAATAGAATTCTATTCAATATGCCACGCATCTTGCTGAATCCAACGCGCCTTAGTCTATCTCGCTACCATGATCTTTACTTTCCTCATTCTACTATGCTGTACGACTTTCCAAGTATGGGCAGCACCTGGTACTCATAAGAACGGCGCGGACACTCCCATGATGAGCATTGCCAACATTCAAGACGACCCGGTCGCGTCTGATCGAACAGCTTTTGACTCGGAGCATCAACCAGCAACTAGGTCCACGCCACCTATCTACAACATTCCGAGTCCCAATTGTACCCACAGTGGCAAAACCTTCGCGCAGCAACGAGCTGAAGGATTCATTGACTACTTCTGCGACAAGAAGGAGTGGTGGAATTATATCTTCGCTCCTCCCATCTCACTCGGGCTTGATCATACGAGTGATGGCCGCAAAAAGATGGCCGCTGCTGGGGCGGGGTATTCCATCCCGGGAACCGGCGATTCGGTATGGATAGGGCTCAGATTCTCTCGCGATTCATGCTCGGGATTCTTTCCATTTACCCTCGGAAATACCGACGGTGAGAAGGCAGACCACTGCAAAAAGCGCTTTCGAGCCATACTGAATGGCTGTGGAACGGATACAGTCACTACAAAGAAAGAGGGCATGTTGGTCGATGGATGCCGGGTATATCAGATAGCCGTCGCCGCAAATAATCCTTTCACTGTGGATGAGTTGTATAAAGATCAAGGAGACTTGATTTGCAAAGACAATGACAAGAGCTTGAAGGGAACTTGTATCTGCAACTACGCTGGTTATCCTGGGCTTACTGATGTCTTTGAGCGACCTGCGAGTAACTCGTGCGAGGCTGGGGATGTTGACTTGAAGAAACTAGTCATCAATTAGTCTGAAATAGCAAGTATGATCATCTAATTCTTGGCCGAATGGTACTCTGTCTGCGGTCGGAGCAGGGTTTCGCCTGCAACGGTTTCAACCACGGTTATCCAGCAAATTGACAATTCCTAATCCCTTTCTCTTACGAACTACTGGTTTCTCCATACTTTATGCAACGTAAAACCATTTGCCGAGGTTGGGTGAAATCTCTCACCCCCAATAACGCCCAGTGTTTCGCTCAATCGTCAGAAATTCGACCCAATCTCCGTGTAGACGCAAACTCTTAAGCTCGTACAAAAAAGCCGCCTAAGAAAAGTATGTTTTCTTATTGATTGAAAACCCATAATCATTCGTGTTATTAACATAGAGGGGGTTCTCCACTATGCTTACTTAGAAGTTTGCGTCGTGGTTTAGACCTCGTCGATAACATCCCACCGGGATACAGCATTAGGGTCACTAGAGGGGTTCACTTGCTGCGGCACCCTACGTGCCTACCTGTGGCTGGATGGCAGGAAAAAGGAACGAATATAGAAAACTTCCGGTCACCTGACACCCCCTGCCCAAGGGCTCACGTACTGTCTTACGCGATCCCTTGCAGATCCATCCCGGGAGAGAAGAGTCACGGATATACGTGGCCACATATATACGCTTGCAGTTGCGCACTGTCATGGATGGCGCCACTATGATGCGATACACATGTTCTATAATTTCAGGTCTATAATTTCAGGAGCGGTAGACACTTCGGCACGTATTGTCGATAAGACGCATCAACTCGCGTTATGTCTACATTAAGGCTGGTCTATAGCGTAATGGTCATAGATCTAGATCATGAAGTTCCCATTGTATGAAGCGGGTAGTTGAACGGTATTCGAGATTCCTAGTAAGTATGGAACATCGGGCAGGACAGCTTTCTGAAGGTGAGCAAAGATCTTAGCTCTTCCAATATTTCACGATCCTCGTCAGGATATCTCATATTTTTTGGCGGGATAGTGAGCGAAGGGAAGGGTGGAACGTAGACCACGGCTACTGGTATTCGGCCTACGCCGCAGGGATGGCCTAGCGTCCATAGCTGGAGACTAGCTGAAGCTTGTTCATACGAATCAGGATATTCTCAAGATTCGGAGTCAGCATCTCGGTGTCCCAAGTTTTGTTCATGAAGATAAGAGAGGGTAGTTAAACGATTAAAGTCGGCTCGTGGCGCATGGCGAAGCTGATTGGCAACGTTGGTCACCGCTATCAAATCTTAGAAATTATATTCCTTTCTGCCACCCTCTATGATTACACGAGATTCTCAGGCAGGGGTCTATTCCCTTGAAGTTCCGGCTATTCTTCTCGGAATCGCTATAGGGTTAACAATATTCGCCATTTTCAAGGCAAGCGACCAGACTTTCCGAATCTACTCAAGAACGAAGTCGACGGCCAATTTGTACTTTTGGATGTAGGTCATTCGGGACTAATCAAGTCTCCAACTTTTAACGTACTTTACTCAGGATCTGGATCTTGCTCCTCGCCAATATCTCTCAGGCGGTCACAGTTTGGCTCCTAGCTCACGGAGACCTTGCAAAAAGGCAGGACGTTCTTAGCTATGTCAAACTCCCTGCTTGTCCTCCTAGCTAACAGATAGTAGCATTGGGCTTTCCATTGGAAGCTGTGCGCTCTGGATTCTACAAACACAACTCGCCCCCCAAGTCCTTGCGAATCGACTAGGGCTTCTCCTAGTAGATAAAAGGAGGGCAAGGATAATGAAAATTGTGTTGCTTGTCATAGTTGGGGTTATGAATATTTTAGTGACTTGCATTTACCTTGCAGGGTACATTGCTAACACGAAGTATTTTACGAATCTACATAAGATCTGGGATCCTATCGACAAGGTTGTTGATTTACTCATCGACATTTCGCTGAACGTTGTGTTCTTACGGATCATTCAACATGAACTCATTGCCAATGGCCTTATCAAATATCGACTATTATTTTATTACGGCGTTGTCTTCGTGTTGATCTCAATATGTATGGACGTAAGTTGCCCAGTGTGCAAATCAACATAATGATGTGACTTGGCTGTGTTTACTATATTGGAAAGTATATACAACATCATTGACTCTTTTGGATCAAAGGTTCTTATGATTGTCATGACAACTGTGCAGGAACCGTTCCCCTACGCTATGACTCATCCAATCGCCTATACGAGCAATTTGATTATCGAAATGACGATGGCGGATTTGATATTGATCGTCGCAAAAACACCACACCAAATTCAAGATGTATCGGAACAGATCTGTATTAGTCAGTGACTTGATCCTCCATACTGTAGTGTTACACTATATAATAAAGAAATACCGCTTCATCAACCTATAATGGCTCCACTAGGTCATCACTCACATGCCCCTCGGTGCCAAGAGACGGTCTCCTCATGTCAGATCCACCTATTCCTTAGTCAATGTTGATAAATATACAGAGTCTTTCATAATACTTTGTAACTAGTAAATTCTTCAATCACTTAAAAACTGAAAGTTGTATTTGCTATTGTGATTCTATTTCCTTGACTTTCTTAAGGTAGCACGAACCAAAGACTTCTCAAACAAGAAGTTCTTTCTTATAATCGTAGCCGTGACAGACGTTTCGCACAATCGGCCGTTGGTGTTGGAAGAGTAATAGCGATAGCGCAGAGTGTAGCTGAGGCCTTTATCAATTCCGTAGAGCTGGCTGTAGGCTGAGGTGTCTCCTAAGACCTACCAGCCAACCCAATACATAATGCTTCTGAGCAGCTTTTTGAGGCACTTTTCAGTACCTGACAAAGTAGATTAGCCGCAAGTTTCCTGATTTAAGCTTCCTAACATTACGATCATTCAACCCTCTGTAATTACGACATTATAGCAAGCTGGCATATTGCAAGCCTGGAACTTGCTATTCATTGTCAGCGGACTGACTTTTTAAGGCTCATGCCTCCCACGAATACCGTAACGCTAAAATGTTCAGAATAAGATCTCCCCAAAATGAACGAATATCTTCAAGTTTCAAACACCAGACCGACTAGACACTTTTCGAAACGCTGGCTCCATTCAAAATCAAGCCTTTAGCCACGACTCCTCGCAACCACGAATTACGTACCGATTGTGATTTTGATACTAGCAGTGTCAAATAAGCACCGCAGGCTGTCATGAATCGGGCGGTGGTCTTCATGATCTCAGCAAAGCACGGGAGGTCCCTTGGGAAATTTCAGCGCTACATTAACTTGAAGCTGCTCTTTGATTCCATGTGCTTTAGTTACGCTCTATAGTTATCGAAGATGGGACAGCTGTCCATGAGGTGGACTTCGGGGGCGACGTCTGAGAGGGCTTCTCGACGGAAAGATCTAAGAAGTGCCCTGTTCTCCCGACATGCTTGTGCACGAGGCGGTGGACGCCTTGCTTTACGCTCAGTTCTCCCAGTCGCTGGCAAGCCAGGTCAGGCGTAGAAGACTTCTAAACGCAGCAACTTCATGAGAATTAGTAATGCCAGTTGCATGGTATTTTGCTTGTTGTCTATGGTGTGAAGGAGGTTTAAATGATGGTTCTTCTGCTGATTTTCTTCTTTTAGGTTGACGAGAACGATGTTAGAAATCAATCTCGATACGTGGTTAAGAATCGCTCCTCTGCGTCCTACCTGGCAATTCCTTTCTTGGCATTGCGCTGTTTCTTGATGCAGCCCGCGTTGATTCACCTTCTTTTAGGTTTATCGAGCAATTCGGATGCGGTGGAGCCGTTGTTGAATCGGTTCGGATCAAACTCTTACGTTGCTTGCCTATATTGTCCTGCATTTCGTTTGCATCCTCAATCCATAGCCGCTATTGGCTTTGCAGAGATACTGGGCTTACTGGCTTCGTTGTCGCTCTCGTCAGACAGGAATCTCCACCTCTCGATTGTTTGATCGGGATGAAGACTTCGCTATCGATTGCCTGCGCCAGATCTTCGGGACATGAAATGCCTACCCAATGTTTCTCCAGCTCATTATTTAGATGGAAGAGTATTGCGAAGCTGCTCTATCGGTCACTTACGATTATACCTTTGCTCGAAACCTTTCGATAAAAATACCTGTAATTGATGGCCTGGTCTTTTGCGCCATGATTTGTGGAAGATGACAGGCAGCTCGGTCAACCGAACAATGCGTCTGCAGTCAGACGAAAGCTACACAGTCATGACGAACATCATCAGCTATTAGTAAACTGCCCAAAAATAAACAACGATTAATTCATGCATACAGATGACATACTTCAGTTGATTTCTCACTTTAACCCTATCGAGACCGCCAAGTTTGGGGGAGTCGTTGGTCCCAGGTGCTTAGACTTGTTCATTACTTGATTCGCTTATGTATTTCTCCTCAAATTTTGTCAAATCACTGCTTTCACACCAAACCATATTCGTGATCACGGTGTACCAAACTTCAATAGTATCTCGACTCATTGGCGATAGGTGTGCAAAACTTTGGATTGGTAGAGGTATCGATGTCGAGCTAACAAGTATCCACAAATCTCGCAGACCACCGAGCATGGAGTCTTCAGGGTTCCCCTCTGTGCTACGCGAATCTTACCTTGTCATCTTTGTATGCAGTCGATGTAACCTCGAAATAGCATGTGGGAGCCCTTGAGAATGGCATGAGAATTGCACAACCAGTCATACCTAATCAGCTATCCGAGCCTAATGATTCGCCGGGGGCAGCGCAGATCCCCACGGGGCACCATAATTGCTTTTGAATTCATGTCTAGGCATTATCCATCACCTTAGCCCTATTGCAGACCTGCGGCCGGAGTGTGTCTCCTCCTACAGCAAATAAGGTCGAAGCAAGGTGGGACAGACTCCGCAAAATGTCAGCGAGATGTTGCATCGCGGACCGGGATAGAGTTGAATCTGTAACCTTTGACTGCCAAATGGAGTTGGCGAGGTTTGTTAGTGCTCACTCTTCGGACTAACTAAGTGGCCCTACTGCTGGCAATTGCAACACGGGTACCCGGTAACCTGGTCGATCTAGTGCCCAGGGGTCTTGATGCAAGAATCGTATTTAAGATGCAAGCGCGCAACAGGAAGGATGTTAACAGCAGGAAATTTCCCCAAAAGTTTTCTGCCTTTCTATCGCCTCGCAATTAAGCGACTATGGAGATCTTTTCGCTGTCTGTCGGTTTCGTCGGCCTTTTACTCATCTCCTTTGCTATTGAGAGAGTCTTGAATAAGTTGAAGAATGGAAGGCGACCCCCGTTGCCCCCCGGTCCCAAGGGTTTACCGATTGTGGGTAACGTGAACGATCTACCCAAAGCTGGTGAATTGGACTACGTTCACTGGCTGAAGCACAAGGAGTTATACGGTCAGTTCTGGGCTTAAAGTTTTATGGCATTATGTTCAGTGTGAAGAAAAGGGGCCATTCTATAGTGTGAAGAACGTAGCTGACTCTCTTGTGTTAGGTCCCATTAGCTCCATCACAACCATGGGTCAGACCGTTGTGATACTCAGTGATCCACAACTTGCTTTCGACCTCTTGGACAAGCGCTCACTGAAGCATTCCTCAAGACCTTCACAAACGTTCATTGGCGAGATGTAAGTGGCTCTGGGGTGTCTGGCAGATCTGTGGAAACTCTGACAGGAAGATAGGGTCGGTCTAGAGCATATCACTGGCATGGCCGTCTATGACGAGCGATTCCGCGCACAACGCAAAGCCATGGGCCGTATCCTCGGCTCAAGAATTGCTGCAGCGAAATACAACCAGTGGCAGGAGGCTGAAGTCGGACATCTTCTTCTGCATCTGCTAGATGACCCGCAAAATTTTGTAGAACACATCAAGAGGTAAGCGAAAGGATGCATTGTGTCAGAGGCGTCCGAGGACGGCTTCGCTAACCAAATCTCGCAGAGAGGCCGGTTCACTGATCCTCAAGATTACGTATGGCTACACAGCGGAACAATTCAAGGAAGATCCTTTCCTTGACATGATTACCGAAACCATGGACAACTTCTCGACGGGCGCTACGCCCGGTGCCTTTATCGTCGATGTTTTCCCCTTTCGTCAGTCTTTTGCCATGCTTCTGACCGAAAAGCTCTTGTTCTAACTCCTAGCAGTGCGATATCTACCCAGCTGGGTTCCTGGGACAGGTTTCAAACAACTCGCAAAGCAATGGAGAGCCCAGATGGAGGAGACCAGAGACAAGCCATACGCCTTCGTTCAGCATCAAATAGCTCAGGGCAAAGACAACTCGTCTTATCTGGCCAACCTTCTCGATTCCTCTGAGCAGTCGCCCTTCGACCAGCATAACAACAAATACTCGGCACTGGCTGTTTTTGGAGGAGGCGCAGACACGGTGAGTGGTTCGGTCAATCCTACTTGGAGCCCCTCGTTGTAGTGGACACTGCATATTTACTAAGCATCCTAAAGACCGTATCGACAGTCGCATCTTTCTTCTTGGCAATGATGGTATACCCTGATGCCCAGAAGAAGGCCCAAGAGGAAATTGACAGAGTAATTGGTAATGGAAGGCTGCCGACTACTAAGGATCGGGAGAGCCTTCCTTACATTGAGGCTCTCGTGAAGGAAATCATGCGCTGGCACCCAATCGGCCCTATGGGTCTGCCCCATTCTAGCACTGAGGACGACGTCTTCGAAGGCTACTTCATTCCGAAAGGAGCCATGGTGCTTCCCAATATCTGGTAAGTCCGTCAACAAGTTGAGGTAATCGGTCACATTGGCTGAGACAAGTCTACAGGTGGTTCACTCATGACCCAGAGCGGTACCCCGACCCGATGAACTTCAAACCTGAGCGCTTCCTACAAACCGACGGCCACGAACCTGAGGCGGACCCTCACAAGTTTGTCTTCGGGTTCGGTCGCCGAATCTGCCCCGGCCGCATCCTCGCCGATAACTCCATCTTTCTCAACATCGCTCAGTCGCTTGCCGTGTATGATTTCACCAAGCCGATCGTTGACGGCAAGGTTGTCGAGCCGGTAGTCAATTTCACCACGGGCGTCATCAGCCACCCGCAGCCATTTGAGGTCTGCATCAAGCCTCGATCTGCTGAGCACGAGAGGCTGATTCGTTCAATTGAGGAAATCTACCCGTGGGAAGAGAGCGATTCCAAAATTCTGGAGAGAATGGAGGTTTAGACAATATTCGCTGGCTTGCTTCTCGCGTTCACGGCCTCGTTTACGATCGTACCCTATTTGTCAAATTGCCACGTTATTCGAGGGAATGCCGTTTCGGGGGAGCTGGACTTGATGACTCAGGAGTTGAATGAATGAACTCGGATATAGCTCGACTTATCAATGAAAGTCGGCTT